CTGAGCTTAGAAAGATGTGTGTGGCCCCTTCCTCCCTCCGTCCTGTTTTATGCATGTTTGAGGACTGTGAAGGTCCCTGTGCAGACACTGAGTTTTATTTAGAGTTTTAAGGGTTTGTTTTTTTTAAAGTAAAATAGCTTTCCTCTACTTTTTTCTTCTAATTACCTTCATATTCTCTCTTTTCCCCTAAGGACTGTGGTTCAGCTTCCGGTCTGGCTTTGAGAATTCGTCTAATCCCATAATTATATCAGTGCCACTGCCCGGTTTATGCCTGTGCACCTTCTTGGCCTGGTGCCTCTTGGCATTTAACTATCGGCACAGACTGTCTTCTTGTCATCTCCTTTCCTGACCTCGAAGCATCATTTCCACAATAATGCTTCTGTCACTAGCGAGGAATAGGTGGGCAATTCTGCATATCATTCCTTACAGTTAAATTCAGGCATCACTCCTGGTGTCTCAGATGATTGCAATCTCCCAGTCTCAGGAAATTCTCTATTTTACTCCATTATAATAAGTGCTCCAGATAAACATTGAATATTATCTCAAAATACAGTACGGCACTGTTTTCCCAAATTTGTTTCTGTTCATTCTGGCTTTATGGGTTTTCCCCACAAACCACTTTACAATTTATTTCTCATCAGTCCCCCCTTGAAGATAATTCAGAATCTGTTCTTCTGTGCCGTCTTCTCTGCTGTAGCCAGAGTGGGAGTCGGGGACAGCCTCCCCTCAGTGGGTAATGGCGCTCTGGATATTAGTTCCATCCTCAGGATTACATCAGCCACTTTCTTCCCTGACATTATCAGCATAGAGGGCAGGAGGCGGTTTTCAGTGTTTGCCTAATTGACACAGTTATAAAGATGAGAGTTTTCCCTGAAGAGTCTGCAGTTGAATTGAAAGACACAGTTGTTCTCCGTCAGTTGTCATTCCATCTCTTACTCACCCTCGTTTTCCAAAGGGAATACTCAGAGACAGGAATAATCCCCTCACCCCAAAATTATTCAGGGCTTTGGAGTCCTGGTTTTGGTTTACAAAGTGAAGTTTGCGTGTTATACCTCAAATAATTCTTCCAAGTATGTAAAACCCAAGAAGTAAAATAACATCTGTTTTTATCAGTCTACCAAGCACCACATTTTCATATATACCACGCAGGTTTTGTTTTTACCTCTGTGCGAATTTACCTGTGTAACCTGAGTGGTTTAATAGGAAGCGTGCATCTTTTGTTAAGGGAGTTTTGGGTAAGTTCTTCAAGTTATAGACATTGAACCACTCCTTTTGTGGTCCTCTTTTGTTCCCTTCTTCAAGTACACCGATTCTTACAGTTTGGTGTGATCACAGATACTTTTGACGAACAAATGAAAGCTGTGGACCAATTTTACACAAACATGGAAAATTGAACGCACCCCTTTAAGGACCTCACAGACTCCCTGAAACTCCTTGGACAGATAGAGGTGGGGGAGCCTCGCAAGAGTGATGATTTGTGTACACGGCTAAAACAGAGCTATTCTGCACACTAACTGGACCAGATAAATAATTTCTCATCTCAGCTGCCCGCATTTATGCGCTGAGGTCTTACAGCTTGTGTGATTGGTACAATGGTGCTTTAGCTGGGGATTCATGGAATTCCTCTTCTCACTTTACCTCTCTTGCACTTTGGAATCTCTCTGGCCTTGGTTTTGTGACCTATTCGATTAAGAGCTTGGCATATAGCAGCGATTCAAATCCTCCAGGAAGGCTGGATGTCCTCGGCAGTTAAGACTGGAGCTTCTCTGGCATAGAGAGGTGGGAAACCCATGCACGCACCCTTCCTGGGTTAGCTCCTTCCAGCTTGAAAGCCACTGGGCCACAGGCCCTCTCCCAGCCCTTTCAGTTTTGAGGTGAACCCTAATTCTGTTGGCCGCTCTGTGCTGGGAGGAGTCGTCTACTGCTTGGATCAGCTTAATTCAGGGAAGCATCTGTCCTGCCTCTTTTAATATTCCCTCCAGAAGAGAGTGGGGACACTGCAGTGGAGTAGCTGTGTGTTAAGTAGCATGTGGTTTCTGAGATCCTCGTCAGTTCACATACTTCAGCCTTTCAAAGAATTCTACATTTTTTTCTGTAGTTGTCAGTGTAGTTTAAACATATTTTGAAACTTACATTCTGTGACAGTTGGTTGAAAATTGGCCTAGAGCCTCCAAGCTTTTAGACTGTCTGGTAATCACCGTTCTTCTACATAATTTATGTACTCATGTCTTCTGAAAAGCAGAAGTTAAATTGAAGTCAGCATTTTTCCCTACTTGCAACATCTCTAATCAAAGTGTAAGCCC